ATACAGTAAAAAGTAGCCACTTTCCCAAATATTCCTACCTTAGCCTAAGCCAAGTTACAACCCTGCAAAGACCTTTGGATCTAATTGTGCATGTTTTACACGTTCCACATCTTTAGAAACTTGAGAATAGGATAAGCTTATGGTTGTCTTATTGCACTGATGGATTGAGAGTTAAACCCAATACACAAGAGTGACAAGTGCAATGATTATCCTGGTAAGAAGTGATCAAACTAGATTCTAATTCCTTATATCAAAAGTGATTCCTGAAATTCTCAACCTGGAATTCACTCATGCATAGCATTATAACTCTGAATCTCTTCAATGTAGAAAATTGCATTAGTGATATACATTCTTCTCACAGAGTTAATCCTTGCTGCCTGATGTTTGATCTTATTTATTGCTGGGGACAACAATATCCAAATCTGGGAATTGTTTGAAGTGCCTTCAGCATATAGATATTTCAGCATGAAAAGAATAAGAATTTGATAGTAATTCAGTGATAAATAACATGATTTTAGTGAATTATTGAATATTTATCTTCAGGCACACTTTCACTCTGATTTGATATTTTTATAGGAGGAAAGCATAGACAAATGACTGTTACAAACAACACCTTTCACGGTGTGAATTCCACGCTAATAGCTTCAAACTGAGGAAAAAGAAAATGGCCACTGCATTCTCATGCTAATGGCGTGAGATTCACGTTAATGGCGTGAAAATTGTCCTGAACTTCACGCAAGTGGCACCAACTCCATGCTAAGCGCGCCAAATTGAAGCCAACCACTATTTCTTCACGCTAATGGCGTGAAATCCCACGCTATTTGCGCCATGTGAAGCAAATGGCCACGCAAGTCGCGCCAAGTACAGAAACCTCATTAATCGCCCGCGCGCATAGCGTGGAATTGGCGCGGATGGCGTCGATCTTCGTGATTTCAGTATCCGATTGCAAATTTGTACAGAAACAGAAAGAAAAATAAAATCTCTCAGGAGATTTTGACCTGATTGAATTGTTGGTTATAAAAAGAGACTTAGACCTCAAGAGAAAACAACTTTTGCACAGAAAGAGATTGACGGAGGCAGAACGCAGAGCAAGCTTCTTCTCCAATTTTCTGGTTTTTATTTATTTATGAGTTCTTTTCAATACTTTGAATTGTCAGACATGAATATGTATTGCTAGTCTTTTTATTATTGTGGTAAGGGTCACAACCCTTGATGTGAATCCCTTGTAATTTAGTTAATTTTATATTTAATTATTTGAATTGCATTTATTTTATCCTGTTCTTCATTTATAATTCTTATAGAATTGATCGCTCTATTAGGATTGCGAAGGTTAGGGTTTTCAATAGGAATATTGGGATTCTAGTTCTTGACAAAGGGTAAAATAACCATTTATGTATGCACTAGGGATAGGCTACATGAATTGCAAACGTGAAAAATTCACTGGTTTAAAGGATTGACTTGAAAAGGAATTTCTAAGGGATTAGGATTCTAATAGGGTTAATAAAGTTAAGATCACTAAGGAATTATGGCTTAACTAATTAATTATTATATGATGAATTGTTTGATTAATGGGTAATTGAATGTAAACATTAATTAATATTACATGGTGGGAATCAGAAAGGTGTTGATGTCGTTTACCGCAATAGCTTTTTACATATTTTCTCAATCGTAATCTTTTACTCTTAAGTTTTCAAATTTATCTCTAAATTGTTCACAAGTCTTGAATAGTTCACAATTTTTACAAACACAATTACTCTCAAACCAACTTTTGTTCATCCAATAAGAAAGGAATAGTTAAAATAAATCTGGTGCCTCAATCCTCGTGGGACGATATTCTTACTCATCTTTTATTACTTGGTACGATCGGTGCACTTGCCGATTTTACGCAACAGACACCTTAACAATTAGAAAGATAATGTCTTCCTTGAAAGCTTGCATGATTCATATTTTTCAAGATGCAACATATCTACAAACATTATAATTAAGTGATAAAGCAATTACAATCCGGCTAGAAGCATCAAGTGTCATGCTCTTCCGAGAGCATGGGCACCCGGGTTAAACCCAAAATCGGGCACATCAAGTCTCAAGCCCTTCCAAGATTATGGGCACCCGAGTTCCATATTGAGGGCGTATTGAATCCCATGCCCTTTCGAAGTCATGGACACCTAAATCCCTTTAGGGTCTAGGCACATCGACTATTACATGTTTTTCAGAATCCAAGCAATCCAAATCCTCCGCGATCTCGATCAACAACAAAGCATCATCATATAGGGTTCTCGCACCCTAGTCTGTTACTCAATAATAAAAATATTATTATTATTTTTTATTTGTTGCCTGTCTAAGCTGACATCTTGAGATATCACCTATTAATTCAAATTTGGAAGAAATTACGAACATGGAAACGACTATGAGCAACACAACAAAGCAACCTCAAGCCCGAAAGTAGTCACAATCAATGGGGGCTACGTCTTTAAACTCGAATAACATTCAAATCGTTGGGTTTCTGATAAACCATTGGTTTACCATGGTTTTAGGCTTAAATATACTTGAATTATATCATGAATTGCATGAAAATTAGGGTTTTATACCGTAAAGTCACAATAATTGAATATCTTGCTAACATCTTGTAATATTTCTGATTTCAAGAGATTTTAACATCCATTATGGCTTTTTCGAGCCAAAGGAATCTAACAATATGAGTGGAAGCCTCAAGAAAACAAGATTTCATGTGTGTACCAACTGAAGGAGGACGTTTTGGCATCCAAGAAGCACACTTAAACACTCAAAATGAAGAAAACCACAATATCTCCCTGAACCAGAGCGTTTTGGCGGCCAAACAGAGCGCCAAAAAGCTCCAGAAGCAACCAGAAACCCTTCGAAGACGACGTTTTGGCGCCCAACAGCATGCCAAAACGCCCATAGGCAGACAACAACACACTGTGGGAATGTTTTAGCGCACAAACAACACGCTAAAACGTCCAGGCACGGCCAAATCTAATCCCAAAAGAGATTTTATATCTTCATCAAGATGTGCATCAGATTTTATAAAAATACAAAGTGGAAACAATTCACTCATAATTGATAGAGATTCATGGAAGATTGAAGCAGGATTATAACAAGATTCAAAGTCAAAAATCTGTCACCAATCTACAAGATCTTAAATGCAAAAAAGAAACAATTGTAGAATCAACTACATATCTGATACAGATTCGGTGAGAGATGCAATGAAGGATACAACTCCAATGGCTATAAATAAGGAGCTTGGGGTCAGACCAATTTAGCAATTCACAAGTCCAGAGAAATACATAGAGACCTGAAGGAGGAATCCTGTTGCGAAGCGCTGGAACACTGAGGAACCAAGTCAACATCACACCAATGGAGGCTTGAGGTTCTCTTTTCTTTACTATTGTTTATGAATTCAGTATGCTAGGCTAGATTTTTATGTAGTTCGGGGTAGATGGAACCCAATTGAATCTTTATGTTTATGAATTAAATTGTCTCTGAATTCTTTTCTTTTTATAATTGAATAAATTTATCTGTCTTTAATGCTTTCTATGAGTTTGCTCTTTATAGAATGATTTTGGGGAATTGTATGACAATAGGGATGTTGGTGTATGAACCCTGACTTGGTGAATTTATCATAATTCTCGTGATCTAGGGATAGACATAGGGTAATTGTGCAATCTTGAAATTCTTGATCTTAATGCATGTTTTCTTGGGAAATAATCGGGAACTAGAGTTCTTTCAAGATTACATAGATTTATGGTAACAAGAAATTGAGCCGTAATTAACTTAGAAAGAATTGATTGGCAATATATTAAGAATCAAATTCTTGACTGTTTAATTCATAACATATTGAGGAGATTGGGGGAAGTCGAAACCTTAACTACGCTTGTTTTTAAATTCTTTAACCAATCATCATCCTTTCCAATTATTCTTTTTAATTCTGAAAATTCTTTAATTGCATCTCATTATTTGTCTTTAATTTTTAAGTTCTTAAAATACAATTCTCTTCATCTAAATTCTTGATTGTCCAACTAAAACACGATTAGCGAACTAGTGCTTGAAATTTCGATCCTCGTGGGAACGATCTCGTACTCAGTACATTTTATTACTTTACGACCGGTGCACTTGCCGAAGTCGCAACAGTTTCTCCTGCCACTTATATCCATTTACACAACATATTTAATATAGGCATAGAGGCTCCATTTTCACCCAGACATTCCAACTTCGCACAATGAGAGGCTGGGGGCTTATGTTTAGGACTAGTTAAATTGTCTCAACTCCCTTCCCCTATTACATGTCATGCACCAAGTATCTTACTCCACCACTCTCTCTTAACTTCCCTCCATTACATAAAGCCACTCACCCACTAATCACATTATGACGCTAGAAGTCACATGCAAACCACTATATGCATAACCTCCCTATAATCCATCTATATACGGCCCTTGTAGTGAATGAAGGGATAATCTTTTCATTGTTCACAAAGTTTACCATCATGGTTAGACTTCACACTCACATGTTTTGATAATTCTAATCTTATTGTTTGAAGTATGAGCTAAGTCTTATTTAACAAATTATACTTTGGTCAATCAAAAAAAGTTGCGGATTAGGTGATGAAAAAAACTTAAGTTAAAGCCACAAAAGACCATCCTTAGAAGTAAATCAAGTAATGATAATAATAAAAATCGACAACAATGAACAAACATATAGTTTGGGCCTTCTGATACAAGAAATGGGCCTGCATACTCAGGCCCAAGGAAAGAAATGCCATCTGAGTCCAATTCTAACCGTCTTGGAAGTTGCAACCAATAGAAAGCACTGTGCAATGCGCGGATGTTAGGACGAGAGACGCGGTACGAAGCCGCAGAAACTGAATGAGATTTGAAAGTCTCGTTGGTGAAGCAATCTGTGTTGTAGTGTCGTTGCGTATCTTATCTTGTATTTGAAAAAATAAAATAAAAAATAATATTTAAATTAATACACGTGTGGATTTCGTTGCGGGTTTGGAATTGGGGTTGGGTTTGGGGTCAAGTAATGCAATGGTTTCAAAAAGAATATGCCATTGTTTTGTTCCTCACAGACATTCTCAGATGCCAAGTGGTTAAGTTTTCTCTTTCTCTTTATATTGCACGCACTCCACATGCTATCATTTCTATTTCGCCTTCTCTTAGCGACACCAGGTTCTCTTCCTCTCTCTCTCTCTCTCTCTCTCTCTCGTTTTCTCTTTATCTCTCTAATTTTCGTTATTTAATCATATTATTTGGAATATCGCTTATGATTGGTGTCTCTGTGTAACCGCTGTTTGGTTCGAATATGTTATTTTTCTTTCGTGTTTGGCGTTGTTTTTGTTGTCGTTGTTATATGTCGTTGCTTATTGTCAATGAGCTTTTGCTTCGTGTCTTATATTTGTAGTATGAAGATTTTGTTTCCGAATATATATTGCTTTCTTCGGTTGCCTTCTTGCTGCAACGTTGCGATGTAAGGAAAACAAGAAGAAGAAGAGAAATTAGGGCTTCGATCTCTTACTGAATTTGATTAATTTAACTATATATCTATTCGTTTAAGTTCAGTTAACTGCTTAATAGGACCTAAAATTTGTTATTGTGTTAACTCTGTTTTCTCTCATAAATCACTCTTAGTTCCTATTTCATCATTTCATTCTTTGTTATTGTAATAATAGTTACTTTACTTAGTATGTTGCATCGTGAGCCTAGCATCTCTTTCGGGGATGTTCTCGTCTACGTATGAGATGGGAAACATAAACTTCGTATACGTGTGAGAGTGTCTGGAGGATATGGAATTGTGGGGAAATTCAATTATTAGGAAAATCGAAGGAAGGCTAAATGACAAGAATGAGTAGCAAAGAATCGAGACAGAATTTGTCGTGGTGTTGGAGGAAAACGAGATACTAGAAAATAGGAAAATGATGATCTATGGTAGCATTTCAGTTGATTTGACCAAGGATTTACTTAGCCAGTCCTGAATAGTTACAATTATCAAATCTTGTTTGGTTCTTTTCATCTAATTTTTATTGTTGTTCCGAGTCCTGTAGTTTGCCATTATGCCATTTACTTAATTGAACATTAAATTCATACATAGCTTATATTTTTATCCATAAAAAAGAGAGATGATACTTCGATTATCTTTTGGTATTATTGTTTCTCTGGTTGTCAATGATGTGACCCTGTTGCCATTAATACTAATGTTATTGTTATTTTCATTTTGTGCAGAGTTTTGCTGGTGCTGTTCTCTATAACTTTCTGGAACTCCTAAAGTGTACTTCATTGCAAGAATTTTAGTACACTATAGTAAACTTTTTTTTTTTTGGTTAAAAGATTGGAATGGTCTCTGATAATAAGTCTGCTGGTTTCCTTGATACACTCAAAATGGAGAGGGTTAGAACTATTCTAACCCCCACTTATCCTTACCCTCATGAGCATTCCCGCCATGCTGTAATTGCTGTTGTTGTAGGTTGCCTTTTTTTCATCTCATCTGACAATATACACACTCTTGTAGAAAAATTAGACAACAATATTAAGTGGTGGTCTATGTATGCCTGCCTATTTGGGTTCTTTTATTTCTTTTCATCGCCATTTATAGGCAAGACTATCAAGCCGAGTTATTCAAATTTCAGTCGATGGTGAGTTTCTTTAACGAATGTATCACTATCAATGTATATGCGTCAATACCTATCTTTATGAAAAGGAATTTATGGGGATTAGAAATAATTTAATGTGTACTTTGCAGGTACATAGCCTGGATTTTAGTGGCAGCTGTGTATCATCTTCCTAGTTTTCAGTCAATGGGGGTGGATATGAGGATGAATCTATCTTTGTTTCTGACAATATATGTCTCTTCCATCGTGTTTCTTCTTGTCTTCCACATTATATTTCTTGGTCTCTGGTATATTGGCCTTGTTTCACGTGTGGCTGGAAAGAGGCCAGAGATTTTAACCATTCTTCAAAACTGCGCTGTAAGCTAGGAAAATGATTTTTTGTGTCCTTAAAATACTCAATATCATTCTGATGCTTTTTTTTAATAATAGGTACTTAGCGTGGCATGCTGTGTATTTTATAGTCATTGTGGCAACCGTGCCATTTTAAGACAAAAACCGGTTGATCAAAGAAATTCTACATGGTTTTCTTTTTGGAAGAAAGAAGAGAGAAACACATGGCTTGCGAAGTTTCTTCGGATGAATGAGCTAAAGGACGAGGTTTGCTCATCTTGGTTTGCTCCAGTTGGATCTGCAAGTGATTATCCTCTTTTGTCAAAGTGGGTTATTTATGGCGAGGTACTTGATATAATTATATGATTTATACAGTCTGCTGTGTTCAATCATATATCTATGTGTTCAATCATATATCCATTGTGGTTCTTTACATCTTATGATGTCAGAATTATTTTTATGTTTTAGATAGCTTGCAATGGCTCCTGTTCTGGTTCATCAGATGAAATTTCTCCCATCTACTCACTTTGGGCTACATTAATTGGAATTTACATTGCAAATTATGTGGTTGAAAGGTCAACGGGGTGAGTATTTCATTATATATATATTTTTTATTATGTGCTAAATTTTATTATTTTTCTGCATGTAGTATGATTATTTCTTTTAATCGTTCAAGTCATAAAAATTGTATCCTTAAATTCTTTTGATACCAAATTTCAATCGGAAATCACTGGCTCGAAAAACAAAATGTCTTTTAAAAAATTAAATCAATAAATTGTTGATTTTTGTTCTTGACAGACTACTACTGTCTGTACATTTTTTGAAATTTTACTTGAGTTTCTGATGAAGTTTTTTTTACTTCGGCTAACATTGTTTTTCTTTTTGCCAGTATGAGTTTAACTTTTCTTATATATTAGTCTTTTACAGTAATGGATATTAGTTGGTAATTTGCACAATACTGTTGTTATTCTGGACTATATTTCCCTGAACGAAGCAATGTGCAATAGTGCCATGACCCCCTGGCACAATAATGCGCATCAAGCAATAAATTATTACTGGTGGTATCTCATTTTCATGTTACAATATATTGACAATTTTTTCTCCCATTATTTCACTTTATATCTCTGTTTAAATGTATGAAAATTCAACAGATGGGCTCTCACTCACCCGTTATCTGTTAAAGAATATGAGAAGTTCAAGAAGAGGCAGATGAAGCCTGATTTTTTGGACATGGTTCCTTGGTACTCTGGGTATGTTTATAAAACATTTTGTTTCCCAATGACTTTATTATATTTCAAGGAGGTGTGGAAGGTGGTTTTGAATGTGTGGTTATACTTGCTAAATAACGCAGGACATCTGCTGATTTATTCAAAACAGTTTTTGACCTTTTGGTATCGGTAACTGTCTTCGTTGGGCGTTTTGACATGCGTATGATGCAGGTAACATTTTTATTTTTCCTTGTTTGTTGTTCATAATATTGTGTCAATATGTCATTTGAATTTATAGCTTGAAGTACCTAGTTGAATTTACAATCATTATCACTGCAAGTATTTGTATACCTTTTGAAGGAGTTTTTAGTTATTTCAAAATTCAAATCTGGTGTCAGAAAATGTTAAAAGGATTATTTTTTTTCTCTGTTTTTGTAAATAACCTTGTATATGTGTTATCCTTCTTTAAAAATAACACAATTTCAAATCCCAAAATGTGGATATGTGCCTTTACAAATCATAAAGGGGGTATTATGACTGATAAATTTTCGAGCTTGTAATTTTGTAACAAAAAATAATAAAAATTCTGAGTACAGTGTGATTTCTAGTCTCTCGATTTAGATTTAAATTATGTTGTGCATTTTTTTACTTTCTATTGAGCACACCAAAGTAGAACCATTTTTGCCTGTCTTGGTAGTTAATTTCATGTATAAAATCATCAGTGTCTTCATACGGGGCTTTTTTCAGTCTTATCCTTATGATTAATGATGTATTATTCTCAGATGTGGATAAGTTTGCTTCATATTTGTCCTTAGAATTGCTACAAGAATATCATTTTACCTGTATGCAAAGATATGAGAGTTTATTTTCATTGACAGGCAGCAATGAGTAGGGTTCATGATGGCAGCAATGGTGACCTTTTATATGATCATTTTAGTGAGAAGGATGATTTTTGGTTTGACTTTATGGCTGATACTGGTGATGGTGGGAACTCATCTTATGCTGTTGCACGGCTACTTGCTCAGCCAGAAATTCATACGTTCAAAGATGATTCTGTGCTTACCTTACCACGTGGAAACTTGCTCCTTATTGGGGGTGATCTCGCGTAAGTTGGCTGCACTTATTTATTCTGTCAATGTGATTTGATCATTTATTATTTATTACTTGTAAGTTTCTTGGGAATGATAAATTGACACTTGACACCATTTAATGCCATAGTTCTTGATTTGGAATTTTGAATACCTAGGTCTAAAAATCAAAGCATGAATAATGGAATTCTGAGTCTTCAGTCCTTAATTTTGTACATTTTTATGGACGGCTTATAACCAGATGCCACATCATATAGTATTTATATTACCCATTGACTTGCAAAGACAATACCCAGCTTCTTCTTGCTTCAATAAATACAAAAAGTAACTAGATAATAGATACTATATGTGGCATCTGGTTATAAGCCCTTCATACTTTATATGGTGTGTATCTAGCTTTTAGATTTTGGATCATGATGTTGTAATTCTCCCACCATGACTACTGAAGTCTCTGCCGCTTGGCTACTACTAGCTTCTGTAGCACAGGTCTTAGCTTGCTGTGATATTGATTGCTGATTTCCTGTCACCCCTTTTGCATAATGGACCATATAGCTACCTAGTGGGGCTTTTATGAAAAAAAGTTATTTTCTGGATTTGTTTGAAATTTGTTAGCATATTAGCATATTGTGGACACCCAAAATGAGAGTGAACTTAGAGCAGTGATAAAGTTGCTCCTTTGTGACCGATAGGTCATGGATTTGAGTCCATGAAACAATCTGTATGTAAAAATGCTCAGGTAAGTAAAGCTGTGTATAAGGATTTTATGGGTAGTGGTTTTTATTATGGGACACCCAAACTTCTTTTCCAACTGACCTAAAGCATCTTTGCTGTGGGATTTGAAGTTTTAACTTTTTTTTTTTATTAAGGTTCTGTAGCTATCTTTATTTTCTGTAAATGACTTTGTTTTTTTTCCTGTTGTAGGTATCCTAATCCATCAGCATTCACATATGAAAGGCGTCTTTTTGTTCCGTTTGAGTATGCTCTCCAACCTCCTCCTTGGTATAAACCAGAGCAGATAGCTGTAAACAAGCCCGAGGTACCTTACGGGGCTCAATTGAGACAGTACAATGGGCCTCAGTGCTTTGTTATACCTGGAAACCATGGTTAGTTTTAGCTCCTGGTCCGTGTCTCGACAACTTATATTTTTTTTTTCAAGGAGTTCAATCCCTTTTAGTATCTATTAGCTAGTTTAATTCATGCTTGTTTTTGGTCATTTTACTTCATCCCTGTTTTCAAGAGTTTAAAATTGTTTTTATGCCTAACGCCAATATGCTTTAGTAATTGTTATTACTGTATGCTTCGCAGACTGGTTTGATGGACTCCAGACCTTTATGAGGTATATTTGTCATAAAAGTTGGTTAGGTGGATGGTTCATGCCCCAGAAAAAGAGTTATTTTGCTTTGCAACTCCCTAAACGGTGGTGGGTTTTTGGGCTTGATCTAGCACTTCATGGTGATATTGATGTGTACCAATTCAAATTCTTTTCAGAATTGGTAAAGGAGAAGGTAGAATATTCTGTCCGTTTCTTCATTTTTATGTCATGGTGAAATATGTCATGAATTTTTTGGTTCACATTTTTTTCTTAAATGATCTGTGTACTATGATATAATTTGTTGTTTTAGTTGTATTGTCAATTTTGGTAGAATGACTGAAAGTATAAGCTCGTCAAGAAACAGTATTTGGAGTAATTTCATTGTAGAATGTGGTTGTTTAATTATAAAGAGTAGTGATAATTACTGATAGAATGTCATGCTTGACTAAATTTAGCATGCTGACTGTTTTGTTCATTCTTTCAGCGCTGTCAGTTGTGGTTCCTCGTTGTCTTTTGAACTTCTTGGATATGATTTTGGTTTATAACTAGGGCCACTATCCGTATGTCATGCTTGTAAACTTTCATAGTTACTTGAAATGGCTACAATGTTCCCAACTACAGGGGTCAACGATATCCCACCTCTCCTAAATTTTAATAATGTTATTTGTATAGAACTGTGTGCTCACCTGTTTTATTACCAGTCATTCTTTTGTGTTGCCATTGGTTCAACATGAAATATTAATCGATGTAAGTGACATTTAATAGTAAAATACTTAATGTGAGAGATGGGAAAGGGATGAGGAAAAGAATGTACAATTACACAATTAATATTGTGTAGGCCACTTCAATCTTATTATTCTAGGTTTGCTCCTGCCCAACCATTCATGCGTGCTTGCAAATTCCAAGGATTTAACTTACATATATCTACTTCGCAATACTTTTTTTTTTCTTTTCAGAAATCCATTTTTGATAGTTTAAGTTCAACATGAAATATTAATCGATGTAAGTGACATTTAATAGTAAAATACTTAATGTGAGAGATGGGAAAGGGATGAGGAAAAGAATGTACAGTTACACAATATTGTGTACGCCACTTCAATCTTATTATTCTAGGTTTGCTCCTGCCCAACCATTCATGCGTGCTTGCAAATTCCAAGGATTTAACTTACATATATCTACTTCGCAATACTTTTTTTTTTTCTTTTCAGAAATCCATTTTTGATAGTTTAAGTACCCTATCTAGATGCATTGTTTTAATTATGAACTTGTTGCTTATGATTCTCTGTTCTGTTCTTCTGTACAAGCTTTGATTAGTGGATATTTGATATACTCGTTTTTACTGTTCTGTTTGTTACTGGACCCTTTTTGTGTCTTTATACCTGGCTGGTTATTTGACCTATGTGCTGATTGAGCATACCTGCTCACTTGACCATTTTTAATCAAGGTTCAAGAGAATGACTCTGTGATCATTTTAACTCATGAACCTAATTGGCTCACTGACTGGTATTGGAATGATGTCACTGGAAAGAATATTTCCCACCTGATTTGTGATTATTTAAGAGGAAGATGTAAGCTTCGAATGGCTGGGGACTTGCATCATTACATGCGTCATTCTCATGTAAAGTCAGATGGGCCTGTCCACATTCACCATCTTCTTGTAAATGGTTGTGGTGGAGCGTTTCTACATCCCACACATGTTTTCAGTAAATTTAAAGAATTTAAGGGAGTTTCCTACGAATGCAAGGCTGCGTATCCTTCTTTTGAGGATTCGAGCAGGGTACGTAGAATGTTAATAGCTGCTTATTATAGTCCTCCCTCTCCTTTATTGTAAGCAACATTTCCTTGTTTTTTTATCTGTTTATAATGATGGTGTAACATAATTTTATATTTGATGCAGATTGCATTAGGAAATATCCTAAAATTTCGAAAGAAGAACTGGCAATTTGATTTTATTGGTGGCATCATATATTTTGTACTGGTCTTTTCAATGTTTCCACAAGTGAGTTCCTCTATTTCTTTGCTATTTTTTAGTTATTTGGGCACAAAGTTAATTATGGTTTTTGAGTCTTTAGATTCTTGCTCTTTCCTTTTGACCCATAGAATTAGCTGAGATTAGCTTTTTGCTTATCTGATAAGCTAGTATCTTCCGTAACTAACATGCAACTGTTTTCTTTTACTTATTTGCTAGTGTGAGCTGAATCACATTCTTCAAGATGATTCATTTTCTGGCCACTTAAGGAGTTTCCTTGGTACTGTGTGGAATGGGTTTATATATATCCTGGGACACTCTTATGTTTCACTAGTGGGAGCTATAGTATTACTAATTTCAGCATATTCTTTTGTTCCGACCAAATTGTCACGGAAGAAAAGAGCAATAATTGGAATTCTTCATGTTTCTGCCCACCTTGCCGCAGCACTGATTCTTATGTTGCTTCTCGAAATAGGCATTGAAACATGCATCCGGCATAAGTTGCTGGCAACTTCAGGTTATGTTCCTACCTGTTGAATGATTTGTATTGATATGATTTTTTGTAATTTGTACTACCTAAGTTGATAAATCAACATTTTGGCTTAGTTATTGTTAATGTCCCATTTGTTTGGCTAAATTTCAATTTTTGTCCCTTTTTAATTGCAACATTGTTATTCTCGAGTAAATTTTCAGTGCTTTTGATTAAATGCAAATAGGTGAGTCATGTGATTCTAATTTTAGTAGGTGCAGACCAAGTCTTTGGTACTATATTAGTTCTGAAAATATATCCATTATCTCATACTTTTGAATTTAATGCAATTTAGTCCTCTTGTCAGGTTGACATTGACGTGATTCTTTTCATTGATGTGCATTTTGTCATTTCCTTTTTGAAAGTCTGGAAAAAAGAATGTCACATCATCAATGTTATTACGCGTCACATTGCCATGTCACCAGACAAAGCTACATCAGCACCAAACTAATGAGGGTACTTAACTGCATCATTTGAAAAGGGTTAGAAATATAAATTGTTTTTTGGGTTTCCATAAATCCCACCTAACAATGTTTGGAACCCAGAACAGATTTTGAGTATTCTGAGAAAGATGAGAAATACAGAGAAACAAAAAGGGAAAAAATAATTCTGTAGTGTTTCTTGAATTACAAACTGTGAGCGAAGGAGAGAATTCTCCTAAAGGTTTCTCATTTCTATAATAGAGCTAATGCTTAGTTTTCAAATAACAACATATCAGAATGCCCTCCCTTATACCCTCTCTAACTAACCATTCTGGCCCTATTATTAAGCCTTTTGGTGAGTTGGTTATTGATATGGTATTAGAGCATCTATGATCAAGTGATTTGGAATATGGAGTTTGACCCTTACCACCCTCATTCTTCATAATTAAGTTAAATTTCAGTAGAAGATAATATGGTCCTTTGCATTGCGCACGTTTTAAACCCAAAGAGCTATTGCATGAGAGAGTAAGCTAGAAATATCAAAACATTCTTGTTGTGAGGATAACATTGTAACAGTTGCAGTGAAGGGGCTAAAATTAGGGGTGTTCTTGGACCAGAAGTGTAATTAGGTCTTTATTGCATGCAACTCTGCAGCCGGGTTTTGTGAGCCACACCATATTGTTGTATGCATAAGGGCATGTTTATAGTTATAGTGATTGTAAAATATAAAATACCATATGTATAATTATTTATTTACCTATTTATTTAAATGGAAATTATATTGTTAAATATTGTATCTTTAGATCATTGTTGTAACTAGATTCAGTTGGTAGATAATGAATTGCTGGAACTTAGCTCTGATGTTTTGACTCCTAATCCTGTGAATTATATCTTGAGATCCAGTCACTGTTTGCCATTACTCATCACAATAAATTATTGAAAAGGTTTTTGATGCTTCATAGAGTAGGATTGTGTCTCTATGATGATATTTGGGTTATGATGATGAGTTTTTTGTGTGATCCAGGGTATCACACTTTATATCAGTGGTATCGATCAGTGGAAAGTGAGCACTTTCCTGATCCAACTGGCCTCAGAGCTCGTATTGAACAATGGACATTTGGACTTTATCCAGCTTGTATCAAGTATTTAATGTCTGCTTTTGACGTGCCAGAGGTAAGAAAAATCTATGAATTTCTTAGTTCTGATTGTTCTTGCGATGGATTCTGTCATAGAGATTATTTTCTCAGGTCATGGCTGTCTCTCGAAACAATATTTGCAAGAATGGATTAGAGTCTCTTTCTCGAGGGGGTGCCATAATATATTATGCTGCTATTTTTCTTTATTTTTGGGTCTTCTCAACTCCTGTTGTTTCCTTAGTGTTTGGAAGCTACTTATACATTTGCATCAACTGGCTTCACTTACACTTTGATGAAGCCTTCTCGTCTCTCCGAATAGCTAATTACAAATCATTTACACGATTTCACATCAAATCGGATGGTGATCTTGAAGTTTTTACTCTGGCAATTGATAAGGTAAGAAGCTATTATTCAAACTACTGTTTTACATATGGCGAAGTGTTGAATTGGCTCAGGTTAGAATCGTTAGATAACTTAAAAGGATACCTTAGGTAACTTTGATAGTGATTGCTGCATGACTTTGAATTGCCGTTTCTTTTCCTTTATTTTTTTGAACTCATTTTTTTAAAGCTTCTTTTACAATTACGCTCTTTTTTTAACAAGATACTTGTTACTATTACTGATTGCTCGATAATTTACATCCCTCCGGCCTCTTTTCTGGTCACAAAGAAAATCTAAAATATTAAATTGTAGAAAACTGAGTGTGTAGATATTCATTGGTAATCTTTTTGTGTTTAAACCAAACTTCCTCTTTGACGTTTAAGTTGTTAGTGAAGGTTGTATGTTTTTGGTGAAAAGAGATAAATATAGTATAGTTCACTAGCATTCTCTGTCTGCAATTAATGAGAGCTTGAGAACGCAATGATACAGCGATTTGCTCTAAGAATCATGACTGCACCTTTTTTGGGGTGCTTGTGAATTTTTTTAAATTTTATAACTCATGTTTTGCTTTCAGGCTGGAAATTGATTATATTTCTCCAGTTTATTGAACAGTGTGTACATTTTCAATGTGTAGGTTCCTAAGGAGTGGAAGCTTGATCCTGAATGGGATGGAGAGACGAAGGATGGGGAGACACAACAGTTGAACCATTTGAGAAGGTTTCCCAGCAAATGGAGGGCAACCACTGCTCACCAGGATCCAATTCATACTGTCAAAATTGTTGACCATTTTGTTATTGGACGAACAGATACGGATGAGACTGGTTCATCAGCTAACGGGCCAGTTTAATGATCTATTGATCTGGTTGTCCTATTTGTAACATTATTTAGGAAGCATTTTAAAGAAATGAAAAAAATAACAGTAGTTTCCACACGGTTCTCTTTTCTTCTTTCTGAAAGTGAGATGGACCGAAGCCGGGAATGCAAATCAGATGAACGGTAAGGTGTAGTCGTTAGATGTTGTTGTAACTGTAGTCGTTAGGTGTTTTAACGATTGAGATGAACGGTTGAGATTGGTTATCGGCTACCTGGTAAATAGATAAGTCGCTGAAATTTGTTAATGCAAAGTGGTCTCAAAAGAAATACTGTTACGTACTTAACTGTTTGCAAAAACATCTGTATCTATGCAAATATCATAACTAATTCCTGACCTTTCAACTCTCCTTCAATTAGGACTTCTGGTTCATTTGTTTTTGACATTGATTTACAACTGTTGGTTGGATCAGTGGTGGGGCTTGGCTCTATACAAGTGTTGATCTAGTAACAGGAGGGGATCGATGGAAGTTTGTAATGGGGTTCAGCTTCTATGCAGAGGCATGAGGCTATGAGCAGTAGCGTGATGGTGACCGGTTGCAAGGTGTGTTTTAGCTCAAGTATGTAGGTGGCCGGTAAGGGACAATGGGTATTGTCTGGGTATGGTTGGAGGTAGGGGTGACGGGGGCGATGGTTTACTCCATGAGTTTTAGGTGGTCTGGTTGTGACAGAGAAGGATGGGGGTTGACGATGTGGTGGTTTTGAGTTTGGAAGAGCTGTGTTTTTGGTTGGGTTTCATGGGACGTGGGTGACAGGCAGGTGGTTTGGCAAAATTGGTGGTCACGACAGAGGCTGCTCGTCGGAGGCAAAGGGCAGGGGTTGCAGGTGGATGTGGCAATGACACTTTCGGTGGTTGGTGGTGGTAGTTGTACAGCAGCTATGGTCTGGCTAATGCTGGTAACATTCTCAAGGACATGAAAATTTGAACGCAAGTTGTTGAAGATAACATATAAAAATGTGTGGTTTATATTTTCTTTTCTCTCTTTTCTTCATATGGTTTCACATGAGAGCTGGACACACTTTTATCTAAGTGTAAAAAATAATTTTATCACATGATCATTCACACATCTTTGATTACTAGACATACCAATATGTTAAGGCACCTTGCTAGTGGTAGGATTAGATATAAGAGCGCGAGTTGACTCTCTTGTTTTTTTTTTTACTCCAAATTCCGAAGGATGGCCTCCCTTGAAATGGATGAAGTTTCTCGGATACAGCTAAAGAATTTAAGTAGATCAAAATTCAAATGCTGGATAACTATCGGCGTGCATAATCAATTTTATATAAGTAAATTGCCTCATTGTAGGAAATCTTTAGATTTTAACCATTAAATGACTTACGTTACCCAAAGAGATACACTCCAATTCACACGCACGACACCTGAAATTAAAAAGAAAAAGAACTATCTACATTTTTCTTGCATATAAAGTCAACTTTAAGTACGATGGAACTTCAATATTTGATCTTATTGACAAAACCATTTCTCTGATAACGAATCAAAGCTAGTCTTCTACTAAGCCTCAAGTACTTAAAATAATCTTATTGCTAGCAAAAGAATCTTTCGTATGTATGAGCTACATAGAAGGAGCAATCTTTGTTTGTTCGTGTTAAAATCAACCATTGTCTCATGTTATGTTTGACTAGTCTGAGAGGATAAAGCTCTGGTATGGGGTCCCTTTCAGCGCTTTCTGCACTTCATCCCAGTTTTCGATTTGCTTTGATAATGGGGCAGTATGAATCTTTACCTGACGGCTATGCAGATCTCTATACGGCAATCTTAGAAATTCTTGAACATCCTTGAGTTTCTGGAAATTAAAATTTGAAAAATATATATAAGAAGATCAACATTGAACTATATCTAAATATGATTTAATTTTGATCCATGACTGTGTAAATGTATTTTACGCTACCATTTACTTACGTAAAATATTACACATTTGATTATAACAAGTTAACAACTACTATCTCAAAAAGCCAATTTCTTTTTAATAATATTGTCAATGCATAATTAAATAATAGTTTTATTAAATTCTTACCGTGCGATTTTTAACAAGATCCTCGTAGTAGAGAACAATGTGGCGAGTGTTATTAAAGTATTCAATGGCTTTTGCAACTGCCTCCTCTGTTCGCTTGAGCTCTGGCCACAGTAACTTGGTATTGATCCGTGGCTTGTATTTGGCGAGAATTTTAGCCTGCTCAAGCAGAACTAATAAAATTATTTCACTTTTGAAATCAACACAGATTAGCACATGCTTGGTTTTACTTAATTCTAATATAAAATTTACTTTTCAACCAAAAGCTGTGTTTGTTGCATTTTGATTATAAACTCTAGTTTTCTTTTTTTACATACCAACCCTAATTATCTATCTGAGACGAATATGTTTCTCTAGGGTATCTCCGCAAACTTCGGCTCCTAGAGCTGGCTATGAAACTAATCCCGAATACAGGGGGCATGTCAGAGATTAAAATTTTAAGCTCTTCCCCAATACGATATTAGTGGGAATTAAATCGAAATCCTTCCACTAGTTACTCAGCTCTCATACTTAGATCTAATCCAAATTCCATAATGTAATCCAAACACACAAATATATATATATATGTATAGTAAGGAAGAAAGGGCAAAGGAGATAGACCTCTAGTGTGGAGTGGACATGAGACTTGTGGGTTCCATTTAGTGGCTTGGCAACTTTGTCATAGGAATTTGCTAGCACAGATAACACTCTACGGAGCAAATTCCTTCTGAAAAGGAATATTGTAGAAACTCGTCTACGTTGGAAGTATTCCACTATCTCCTTATGATGCTCCATCAAACCCTACAACATATGTATCAATTTTTTAGCATACTATATGAACTAGACACACACTTCAACTAGGACAAAGAAATCCTATGTGGTTATTCATCATTGTACCCACCTGATTAAGCATCCACTTGTAGCCCACGGCTGCGGAGCACTCATTCTTTGAAGCACTAGTGAACCAATCAAGATTGTACACTTCATCCATTGTCTTCAAAATTGAAGAAACATTCTCCCTTCTTTTGGGTATAGAAAATATTTCTCCATTGGAGCTAACATTAATGTGACTGTTCAAAAATGTCTCAAACCATCCGCTCCCTGATCTTTGCATTGTCAAGATGGAAAAAAACTGGACAGGATTGCAAGCACACTCCTCTCTGATCATTATAACAAATAAAATTGGCAGCATTTTAGCATGAGCACCCGCTATGTGCAGGGTCTAAGAAAGGGTTTATAGTAACAACTTTACATTTCATATGAAAGAGGCTAATTATATAAAGGGATTATATTTTCTTATGCAATAGGAGATAAGATATCTCATGTTGCACTCATAAACTTATGAGGGTCTCACTGTACAGAAAAATAAAAATAAAATTTGAAGTGGATCCCACACCTTTTTGAGTGTGTAAGAGAAACTTATTGTCTCCTATCACATGAGGCTAATATTTTCCTTATATAAATCCAACGTATAACCTCCAATTCACATCATGATAATGAGTTAGGAAAGGATTTGTAGTAGATAGTCTTGTCATGTTCTTGCATTTGCAAGAGGCTGATTGTTCTGGACCCATCTCATATCTCATGGGACTTATGGCTTTTAGAAGATAAGAGATCAATATAATCCTAATTCAAATATAAAAGGATCTCATCTATTAAGAGTTTTATTTCTACTTAAACTCTAACACCTCCAGGTAAATCCCTTTTACAAATAAAAGATTAAGCCTCACAAGTATAAAATTTTACTCTCTGATGAGATATATAAAATCATTAATGTAGTTTCACCCAACAGCTTAAGCTTTTGGGTTGAATTGGTTCTTTATATGGTATTAGAGTCTCGCCGCTTCCCACTTTCTCTTGTGGCGTTTCTTAGCACAGATAGGACATTGTCCACTCTTCTAGGTTCTTTACACTCTCATTTATTGTCATTGTGCACACACGCCGTCAATTTTGTTTCAAGCCTTTTCTTTGTGTACATTGACCGGATTCACATGACTATAACACAAACCATTATGCCAAAGTTCCTCTACAAAACTTGGATGCAATGCAAACTGATTCTCCTCTAAATATATGCACTTATATAAATATTTACCTGCTGTAAGTTTTGGGATCTGGATAATGCAAGTAGGGGACTTCCCATTCCTCCACACTAGAAGGATGACATGATGACTTGTTGACAACTATGAGTTCCAACAACCTGGTATTTGTGCGAACCCTTGTTTGCTCTAAATTACTTGAGTAAATGTACATTCCACAAGCCGCAATGATTAGCAAAACTACCAACCTCAATGTTGATGGAAATTTCTTAATAGATTTTATATCCACATAGTCCTGTAATGGAAGAGTTATATACCAGATAAGTCATTCTTCATAGGGAATAAACAATTATCAGAATATGGTAACTTTGACAAAAATTGCAGGAAAACAATATCAAAATATACATGGGGAAAGAATGGCTTACACTTGAAAAAATCAAATTAGTGTCATAAGCACGCCCACGCTGCAGCAGCACAAGTAATATACTTTGTGAGAATAAATAACTATGCCATGCTATCTACGTAAAATCTACATCTTCATTACTATTTGAAGCTCAAGACTTTCGGGAATAAGAAGATTAATTCCAAAAATAAAACAGAGAAAATAAAAAAAGAGAAGACGCTAATATTGTCCAGTAATGTAATTAAGAAAAAGAAGAAAACAAAATAGCAACAGTAGTTCTCTTGTCACCTTGTTGTGGATAAATATTTCTTCGATCATATTTCACGGTAAAGAAAGACAACGACAGAGACCCTCTTCTTCCTCCACTGTTTTTATGTCCACCATTTGTTCAATCTCCTTTATGTTTTTGAAGTTACATTTAGAGTTTCGAGGTTTCCATGTGAAATTCAACGTTGTTCAAGCAACCTTGTCACACAACGGTTCCCTTCTCCTCGTATTTTCAACTTTTAACTTAAGTTACACGGCGGATAGAACAGTATATATATTTAACTTATAGAGGTTCAATGTGTCTCACCTAGGAGATAAAATTATTTTTTCTACTCATATAAAAATATGTGGGATCCACGTGGGGTTATAGGAAGAGAAAAAGAAAATATATACTTCATACTTTTATATGTATGTAGGAGAGAATTTTATCTTTTACAATATTACAAATAACAAACGCCTTATGTTAATATCTTGTGGTAGGATATTGTAACAACCAATTAGTGTTACTATCGTTACTACCAATCAATCTCACCGTTAAATCGATTATGTTGATCCAACAGGTATATTTATTTCCATTTTTATATGGTTATAATTCTCCATATTTAATTGAAAGCATTAAATATGAGAAACCATAACCATACAAAAATAAAAATAAATATAAAATATTAAATATAGAAAATCATAACCATACAAAGAAAAAAAATATAACCGTTAGATCAACATAATCGATCTAACGATAAAATTGATTAGTAATAACACTAATTAGTTGTTACAATATCATTCCCCTAATATCTTAATACTTTTTTTTCTTTGTCGAAGACAACAGCTGAAGAGTAAACGAGTTGATGTATTCCAAAAAGAAACAAAAATACATTTGAAGTCCACAGTTTTTTTTGCCATAAATACCACCATATTACGAGTCTAGAAGAGGCCACTTTGTTTGAGTGACACAAGATAATGTGTAAGCACTTACACGTCGGTGTATCAGGAATAGTAAGGAACACGGAAATTGAAAATTGGGAATAAAGAATTTTAAAAAATAGAAACTATTAAATGAAAAGTATAAATATATAATATTTTAAAATACAAAAAAAATTCATTTTTAAAACAATGATCATAATTTAATAAAAAATAAAAAAAATATTATTTTCATTCATCAACGTGTGTTTTGAGGCACGCATTAGTAAAAAATAGGTTGAAAATATGTTATTTAATTTGTTTAAATAGTATAAAAATAAAAATTTGGAGAATCTCGCAGGAATCAATCTCCGTATAAAAATAAATTGTCTGCTTAATATTTTGTTTCCAAACTAAGTGTTCAAAAAATATCGCTTGATAAGTGAACTTACGATTTTTTTTTTAGTTTTCACCTTGTTTATACCTTTGATATTTGAATGATCGAAAATTTAGTCGCTGACATAATACGGTACACTGAGACATATATATATAACCATGATAAAAGCATTAGTAATTTAGTATATATATAATTGACTTGAGGAAATAATGATGTTATTTATGCTATTCCACTAACTTAATGTTAATTTTTTCAACTTATCAAGTAATATAATGATAGGAAAAGCTATTAAAACATCTACATAATGATATTATTTAAATTTAAAATATGTCAAAGATAAAAATTGAATATGTTAGTACAAATTACTGTTGCAATTACTTATATTTATATCAATTAATGACACTAATATGATATTCTCAAGTTTTTCAATATTTATAAATAAAAACCAAAATACATCGTTATTAGCCAACAATGATTGCTGGAGCTTCGTTTATAATTGTTACTTTATGGTCTCTATTTTAAGAAAACTTAATGGATTTTACGTTTGTTATGTTACCTGACATAACAACACTTTCCTACACACATTTTAAAAAAGTGGGACCCACATATTTTTCTCTCTCTTTCATCATTCCACTTTCTCTCTCCCCTTTATTGTGCATGTAAAAAAATGTTGTTATGTTATATAACATAACAAACATAAAACCCAAACTTAATATATTTAAACTCTTCTTCATCTTTATTATTCCATTGTAGCCCAAAATTTGTATGATTCATTTCACTTATGTTAAGTAAGGAAAACAAGTATGAGTGGGGCAAAGATTTAGATTGACATGATTTGGTTTAAATAACTATAACAGTATTTTCCTTTAGATACTAGCAAAACCTTTCATCGATAATACATTTAAAATTAAAATTTTCATTTAATCCTGACTTAAATCATGATATATAGTTAAGAAAAGATACTTGTACAAATTACACAATTAAAATACGTTTATTCTGGATTATTTAAGAAAAAAATTACAAAGGATTATCCAATAACTTTGCATTAAACTATATGAAAATTGTATTAGTGTAAATTTATGCCAGTATTAACTCCAATGGACGGCAGCTTTGGGTAGTAGAGTGTGCATAAGAAACGGGTCACCAGTTCGAACCATTGTACGAGACTATAATGCTAGAGGCGAATTCTTTGCTCTCTAAGATATCATGGGAGATTAATCTCATCCTACCTTCGATTTAATACACCTGTTTCAATGAGGATCCAAATCTACTCCAATAGCAAAGTAGTCAGAGGGGATTGAATGAAAATAACTCGTGGATTTGAAAAAACAAAATTAAACAGATATCAATGTCCTAAATAACTATGACTTATCTCTTTAGTTGGGAATTCGTAAGACAAAGTGGAAGTCTTGCATAATTACATCATAAAACACTTCTTCATAAGAAGCAAATATGACGGAACATTTGTTCAATCCTCACCGAAGGCAGCTTGCGGTGAGGTACAATTCGTGACCATTTGGGATCGTCATGCTCCAACATACAAGCGGAGAAAAAAGCGCACGAATTATGAGGCAAAAGTTGAATACATTGAATGAAACACAAGGACAATTAACCAAAAGATTCAATGAGTTAAAGGGAAGTGAGGTAAGGTCATTTCCATATTGTTTTTAATCTCATTTTGCAAAAAAATAAAATAAATAAAATCTCACAACAAAGCTCAAGGTAAGGAGTCTCACAATAATGAGAATGGTACTCAACAAGTGGCTGATGTGCAAGACAAGGTAAGGAGTGTAAGGAACCTACTAACTTCCTTGGTAACGGAACTTCAAAAAAAGTTTAAGATCAGGAGATGTTGTAGCGCGTAGAAACGCAAAGCTTTGAAACTTTTTATTATATTCCACCTTGGAAGATTCATTGTTAACTTGTTCAATGTGACAATCATACAGTGGCAGCACAGAAATCGGAGCAAAGGCTAACGTTTTTGCAGATAAAATGGCAAAATACTGCACCCGGGTAAAAGTCATTAGTCGTACACATCACAGATAAGATTTTCATGAATTCCCAACTCCCAACTCAACGGGAGCGTAATGAATGTGTAAAATGGAAATTTCGTTAGGTCAGCAAAAATGAATCAATCCATAAAAACTAAGTCGGGTTGGGTTGACAAAAATGAGCTGTCAACTCGAGCCAACTCGACCCGAGCCGGCTCGAGAAAAAATGAGCCAACCCGTGGATCAAACATGCCAGTTCGCGGGTTGAGTTTTTTTTTTTTTAATTATTATTATTATAAATAAATACAAAAATGAAAAAAACCCACATATGCTATCATCGTATTTCTTCCTTCTCTAAATCTAAGTCCCTAATCTTCTCACATCGCTGCCATTTTTATATTGTTAGGCTATGCTGCCTCTGTTTGGTTCAAATATCTTACCTACTTGGTAGCAAGTGATTCTGATTATTTCTTGATGTTAGTACAAAATTGTTGTGACGATAATTCGAAATTAGAATATTTTGATTTTATTTCTCATTTTGTAACCCTTTGTTTAAGCTGATGGAAGTCACATAGTTGGTGCATTAATACTACAAGTTCATTTAAATAGATTGAAAATGAGTCAACCCGCGAACAATTTTCAAGCTAACCCTATTCAAGCTTATGTCTCTCGATGTGTTGTCTGCCAACAGAATAAGGCCTCTAACTTGACACCAGCGGGACTGTTGCAGCCACTCCCAATACCGGAGCAGGTATGGGTTAATGTATCTTTAGATTTTGTTGGGGGATTACCTAAGGCTTGTGGAGTGGATACAATTCTAGTGGTAGTAGATAGGCTTTCAAAGTACGCCCATTTTTTGCCATTATGTCATCCATATAGTGCGCAAGAGGTGGCATTGCTTTTTATTAAAAATATTGTCAAGCTGCATGGCTTCCCACAGTCCATTGTTTCAAACAGGGATAAAGTTTTCCTTAGTCATTTATGGTCGGAACTATTTAAACAGGCTAGAACTTATCTGCGATTTAAACGGGCAAACGAAGATTGTGAATAAATGCTTAGAGACTTATTTACGGTGTTTTTGCCAGCCTCAACCCAAACAGCGGCCTAATTGGCTACATTGGACAGAATATTGGTGCAATACCACATAAAAGGCAACTTTAATTGTCGAAATTGGATTTGTCATGATTATTGCTTTAACAATTCAATTAGGATGATTGTTGATAGAAACTGATTCTTTGGTACATATATAAATATTTACATGCCTGTTGTAGTACCTAGTTGGGATGATAGAAATTGTTGGCCGAATTCAGATTTATTATGGTTTTTGTTTTAACAATTCGGTTATGATGATTTTGTTGCATAATTGTTTCTTAATTTATATCCTCACATGTATATCGTAGCATAGAGTTAGGATGAAGTTATCTATTGCGAACAATTTTCAAGCTAACCCGCGAGCCAATTTTCAAGCCAACTCGCGAGCTATTTTTTCAAGTCAATCCACAAGTCATATTTTTGAGCCAACCCTAACCCAACTCGGATTAGGTTGGATTGGATTTTCTGGTTCATTTTTTTTTTTCAAGCCAACCCTAACTCGACTCATTTTTTTCGGGTTGCACGTGAGTTGGGTCGGGACGGATCGAGCCGGGTTGACCCGTTTTGCCAACCCTACTCTACAACGTTAAATTACAAGAATTCAAGCTTTGATCTAAAAAGCATTATTAGCCACACAAGAGAGTGCTAGCGCGAAATAATGGCCACAATATGAACAAAATCTTCAGTAATACTGAAGCATCACGGTGATAACTATATATCATGAGCCTGAAGTAGTTCCCGCTAAGCTAAATGTCTAACGAAAAATTTGAGTATTTTTCCCTTGGATGAATAGTTAAAATCCTTATCAGTAAGGATTGTGCAAAAATCCATAACAGATGTCAGCAGCCAAAAAAGACATTGAAATCAGTGTAAGACGTGACAACAGTAATATTTGTTGAGTTTGCCAAGCTACAGTTAACGCCCTCCAACAACCCAATATCAGAAATAGCTACATACCAAGACCACTTCTTGGGCTTAATCAATGGTCCAATTGTGCAACCAGACAATTTGTACTTGCAACGCACTGCAAGAAGTAAAATACTGTGGAGCAGTACCACATATTAAAACATGAAATGTATTATTTTTCCGTTTAAGCATCAAAAGTATTCAAACAAATATTTCTCTCTTAAGAATGGAATACATTTTCTAAGAATGCAGCAAACATTACTAAGTTGGGGTGAACCCTTCTCCATCAATTAAAAGCCCCAAATTCGAGAAATTGAAGGAAGAAAAGGAATTTTTAGAAAGCTTACCATCGACAAAGGCAATCCTGTTAAAAGAGAACCAAAAGTCTCTTTACAAGATGATCAGACGAACAATCTGTCCCAAAAACCGGAATGACTTCGTAGTTTCTTTTAAACATTTATTTTTTTCATCTCGAGACCAATGCTGCATCAACCACAATTACACATAAATAATAAAAATAACGGAGCATCAAAATATAATACTAAAGCCACAATTAAGGGGATTCTTAGTAGTCAACCTCTGCAAGCATGTTAAGATTCGCACGAAAATCTTTCAGCAATTCTTGTACATCTCCTTCCCATCTGTAAAACTCCAGCTCCTTACTTTCCAGGAGCTTTTTAGAAACCTAAAAACAACAATAGAATGATAAGCTCACAAAAATCCTTCATGGTTTCACAATATGTACAAAATTAAATTCTTCATAAAGGAATTCCTCAGTTTTGATTCTAAGTTGACTACAGGATCTCAAGATCTATTTGTATAGGAAACACACAAAATATATTCATTTTTACAAGATTGCCTGAGTTAATAGAGGTCTATATGCAAATATGCATCCACAAATCGTTCAGCAGCTAGGGGAGCCCAAAATAGGCAATACGGTTTGATATCACATCTCAACCCAAAATTAGGTTAATGGCTCCTTTCACTTGTATGTTCCTTTGTTAACCCATTCTTTCCTGATGCGAGACTTTGTCACTCACTTGAATTCCCAAAACAAATACCTATATACTTCTTCAATTCTGATATCTTTATGGGTTAAATTCAAAACCAAAATTCAATATACCCGCTAAAATTAAAGGGACAAGGTCCACACCATATTCTTCATAACCGCTTGATATGATGGCCTATTATTCCATCAACCCTTTCAAGGGTAATTATTCTTAACATGAAATGGACACTCAAATACCAACATAAACCTTGCAATCATATTCTCCTCTTCCAGGCTTGTGCAGATGAAATTTCAAGTCTTTGAGGGAAAGCTAAATCTTGAATAATGGCTTGATAACAATCTATTTTGCAGCATATCTCTCTTATAGGATCTTTTAAACTTTAAAATACTCCTTCCACTTTTAATCCAAAAATACAATCAAATCAAATCATCAACTGATTTTATTTCATGCAGCACTCATTCACTCACTGACAAGGCTCTCTGAAACTCCTTTCAAGAAAGGGAAAAGGAGAGTGAGTACCTGCTTTACTATGACCTGACCAGCAGCTACATGAGAAAAATATATATTGTAGAAATGGGAGAGAAACAAGGGTCCACTTCCCTTCGCAAGTTCCTCCAAATATTTGGCATAAGTAAGACCCGGAGAGCTTGGATTGGGAATCACAACTCCTTGTTCCTCAAACCATTTAAGATCCTTTGAAAGCCCTTCTGATCTTTCCAACCCAGTTTTCCTAAAGTACGTATCTGCAAAGTAACATAACTCATCAAAACGAATGAAAACAACTTTCCCTGTCTAAAAAAAGGGAAAAATTATTCTACCTATTTCTTTTTTATGCTTACTTCGCCTATCACTCTTCAATGCCGTTAAATTAAAATCTCAACTAGCTTTTATCATTTTTTATCTCTTCTTGAGATTCTTGTTAAGAATGGTACGGGGAACCCATTGCAAGGGATACATCCATGGGCCAAGCGATAAACCACAATAAGTGGGCCGACACCACATTTTAACTCAAAACCTTAAGGCTGTAAGTTTATGGGTCTTTTGCACTTATATAGTCATCACTTGGTCTAGGTCTAGCCAATGTGGTACTTCATTACAACTCATACTTGAATACTTCCAACATCTTCCCCTCAAGTATGAGACCCAACATCATGCTCCCCCTTAAGGGCAACTTCTGCGGAAGTCTTTGTTCTTTAAGTATTGGAGTTACACTAGCCTTCTGCGGAGGCCTTGAAACATCACCATCTCTAAATACCCGGCCCAGCCAAACCTTTGGCTTTGATACCACTGTTAAGAATGGTACGGGGAGCCCAAAACCCATTGCAAGGGATACATCCATGGGCCAAGCGATAAACCACAATAAGTGGGCCGATACCACATTTTAACCCAAAACCTTAAGGCTGTAAGTTTATGGGTCTTTTGCACTTATATGGTCATCACTTGGTCTAGGTCTAGCCAATGTGGTACTTCATTACAACTCATACTTGAATACTTCCAACATGTATCATCCTTTACACATGCAGCATCAAGTAGTTTCTCAATTCTGATCTAATAAAAGGGATAAGTTATTCTATCTACTTCTTTTTCATGCCTACCTCATCTACCACTCTCCGGTACAGTTAGATCAGAAATTCAACTAACTTTCATCATTTCTCTATCTTAAGATTTTGATATAATAATATTGGAGAACAGTAGGCTTGAAAAAATAAGAGCAAATAGTGAAACTAGTCCTTAAAAATATATTAATTCATGAATAATAAAAATTAATCCAAAGGTCATATAATATGCATTTCAGGCAATAATTTGACTCTAAAATAAATCACTAATGTTTTAATTTAACTAAACTACAAATGGTAGCTCACTTGCTGTCAGGAAACTGCGCAGTTGAGGGGTGAAAGCATGTGATCAATTCTCCACAAAACTATTTTTGAGAAATTTAAAACCTTAATCTTGGGATCCGACCCGAATCGGACTAGTAGTGAAAGTGATTGAATTATATCTAAACAAAATTTAACTAAACTACTTTTGTAGGTATCTATATATAACACTAACTGTAATTCTACTTACAAGAAACGTCGTCGTATTGGTCGACGATGCGTTCGATTGTGTGGAAAACGAGGTTGCTGTCAACCAAGTACCTAAGGAACCCTTCCATGGAGGGTTGCCACGTGTCGGAATCTGGTTCGTCTTGGGAAGTGGTGGGAACGTTGGGGTTGCGGAGTCTCATGGCAACGAACCTCATCTCTTCAGTGATTCCTGTGCTCTCTCCAGGGTACAGTTTCCGATACCTCATCCTCTTCTTTGGCACCAACGGAGGAGTGTGTGTCTGAGAGTGAGAGTGAGAGTCAGAGAGGGTAATCCTCATGTTCATGTTGTTGTTGATTGTTGCTGTGGATAACCTTAACCTCCATTTCGGAGCTGCTTCTGAGAACCATGGTTGTGCCAGGGGTTTCGCTGTTAACAACATCGCTCATACACACTTCTTCAATATTTGCTTATTGGGTTTGAGGTTGAACCCAGATTTATAATTATTTAAATAATAAAAATTAATTTGTTTCGTTACTTAACTATTTTTTAACTTTTTAAATTAAAAAATTATTATTTTTAGTTAATTTAACGAAAATTATTATCATTTTTATATATTAATCATCTTATTATTTATCATTTTTTAATATTGTCTTATCAAATTTCTAATTGAAAAATAAGATTTATGAAATGCGTGCATAGAAAAAGTGCTCCAACTTTAAAACGATTTGAATACGTGAAACTAAGTATTAAAATTAACTAAAAAATTAAAAAATTTAATTTAAATAATTCTTTTTCGGGGGTCAAGTGCTAAAAAAGTAATTAACTACAAAATGACAATAAAATTTAAGTAATTTGTACCTTACCTTTATCTTAGACCTTACGAAGTTCTTATCATTAGAAGGTTATTATTTATTAGATGTACTACTCCATATAAACGTGTGTACAAATTATCAAAGCAAAACTAAAAGTGGGATAATAAGAGAAAAAATATAAATAAATATTTAGTTATTTAAAGTAATTTTTTTTATATTTTAATTATTTAGAGTATTCCATGAATTCATTAAACGAAAATAAAAAAGAATAAAAAAGTCTGGAACTTTTTGAAGGTGAGAAATATTTTAGCTCTTTTTTTTTTTTTTTGGTACATCAATATTTTAGTTCTCTTTATTAGTGATAACAGAGAAAAAAAATTAAAAGTTTTGAAGTTAAAATCATGGCATGGAGGCTGCTTAACTTTGACTGAACTTGCTAGTAGAAGCTTCCCCATGTCTGCTACTCTTTCTGAAGCTATTCCGGTACGTGTTCGAATCTCCCCAGTATCATCTTTAGGAGGGATTTAAAGCTTTAATCCTGAACCCGCCCCGAATCGAATTAAATGCGAAGCAATGAACCGATTAGAATATTAAAAAAAAAAAAAAAAAAAAAAAAGGCACTAGTCTACTACATTATGTTGTTCAAAGAGATACTCACAAATTTGGATCTTATTTACGTGACGCTAATGCGTATGTCTGTTGGGCTTTTGAACATGCATATTATCATACAGATATGAGGAACTTCTTAGAAGAGTTTGCCCTACACCTTCTAACAGTGGCATACTATATGATTGTGAGGATGACTGCATGAGAGTCACAATAGTCACTTTTCAGAAAAAAAGGTTGGAGGACAAAGAAATTTACCCACATGGCATTGACATTGTGAATACTGCAGATTGTTTTTCACTTTCTTCACAAGTAAACTCTTATCTTCATGTTGTTATCTCATGGCTCTGTGTTGAAGGATATCTTTGTTCCTTTGTGGATGACCTTCTGGATAAAAAATTTTGTCACTGGGATAAAAGCTTGCTGAAGAGGCCCTCTTTTTTCTTGCAGGAGTTGAGGATCATCAAGTGGGATTTGAGTACCCAAGTAGTTGACAAAACAAGCAAGCAACATTTGAAGAGTGACAAGGAGGTTGTTACACTTGAAGTTGGTATCTATTCTCCAAAGGCTTCCTTGATTGTGCAGAAGGCGAAGAAGCCAAGTGTAGCTGTTCAAAGGCCAAAAATGGTTTTTCCTTGAACCTCAATCTATGCCATAGCTTGGTATCTCAAGCATCCTTTAGAATTGAAGAAATCAGGTGCAACGAATGTTATTTCGGAAAAAGGAGGGACTAGCTTACAACTGGGTTATGAACTGCTGAAAGGCTTTGGCATGATGTGTGACAATGTAACATTTTGAGATTTTTGAGTCAGCTTCTTAGAGAATCCATGAAGCTACAAACCCAAGAAGCAATCAACGACTCCGAACATCATCAATTAGATATTTTGAAACCAGAAGAGGACACATGGGAGGTTGTCATCGTGATACGGGGGGCAGCATTCTTCTGACCCATATTGTTCCCCAGACATCTCGGCGTCAGTTAGTAGTTGTTGGTTATTCATTTTGTTGAGGGCTTTAATTACAATTTTGGGTAATTAGTAACAGGCCATCAGGAAGTTAGGGAGTTTGAAATACAGGAGAGAATCACATACTGTGTATAAAAAGGGTATAGTTCCCATTGTTAAGGATTTTTTAATGAATTAATGATTGACGGAATTCTTGCACAATGAGCAAACGAATTCTCCCTTTTTGATGAACATAGGCTATCGTATCCCTTTTTTTCTTAATCAATAAAGCTTTCATTTTCACATATAATCTTTTTTTCTCCCATTCAATTTCAATCTCTCCAAATCCAGAGTCATTACAGAACATTAACTTTTTATATTTGAACACCACTTTACAAATTCTCTTTAAATGAGGATTGTGGTACTTTTACAGTTATTTTGAAATGAGACATCACACCCTGACCCTGTCATTCAATTCCCATCTCTCCATATCCAGAGTCATAACAGACACACTGAACATTAAACTTATTATATTTGCTAACCACTTTAGTAAGAACAAAGTGATGGGCCCAAAAACAAATTCTCTTTAAATGAGGATTGTGGTATTTTTACTGTTATTCCGAAATAAGTAAGACATCACATCAAACATCTGTTACTGAGGAAACGAATTCGAATTACTTACAAAATAGAAACCAGACCTCTGAATGCTAATCTAATTATAATTTAAAAAATGGGAAGATTGAAGACAGCATATGGGAGAACAAGACATGAATATGTGAATGTACATGGGTTATAATTGTGTTTCCTCATAATTGTTTCCTATTTATGTACGAGGGACACTGATTACAATTCCCGAGGGCCGGCCGACCTATAACATTCATTAAATTTTAAGCACCAAATGAATAATTAAGGAATGGGAAAATGTACAAGTTGGGCAAGCCAAAATCTAATAAAAGACTTGCACGAAATCTGTTAGCCCACCTTGAAGCTTCACCCACATCAACACCAACACCTTGAAGCTTCGCTAAACATGTTAAATGGTTATCAACCTATCAAGTCGAACCCACAGGATATATGAGCTTCCGATGCATTTGACATATAAATGCCACGCCGGAACAATTACCTAACTCTTATAGAAGTATTTAAACATCTACGCAGAAACATATCAGCTCAGGTATAAGATGCTTTTAATTTCTGTAAGAACTTTAATGTCTCCGTATATGAAGGGTCCGAGCGGCTCACAGGCTTGCAAGAATTTATATGATCTGTCGACTCCAATACCTGTTTCAAAATTTGAAGATAAATATGAAAGCAAGCACTTAACTGAGTACTACAAAAAGGGGAAAAAATCGCTTAAAACATTATCGTCCATTGCAACTAAGTTACAGAAATACTTGAAAATAAATAATATAACCAGATACATGCCAAACAAAAAGGCATCTATCAACTCGAACATCTCATGAATTGTCATAGGACAGTGTTAACCTTCCCATCAAGTTGTTTTCAATCTTATGTCATTTTAATTTTCTATGCCAGAAATCATGGTAAAAGCTGGTATCTCCAACCGGGGCGGTTATAATGTGGTGGGGATTAAATCTCCCCCATACTCATTTCCCATTCACCCTATGTCCAATAGGACCTCCTAGAACCCCCTCCCCCTTCATTAAAAAAACTAAAAAATAAACTTACAATTTACAAGGGCTACTGGAAAAATAAAAGTTATTTGGGCAGATCTAACTATAGTGTGTCCGATAAAAGATTGCGTATCTAACAGGACATGTAGATAAATGTTGTCCAACGCTTCTTTCATAGTACTACTACTAAACAATTACAGAAGGGCACAGAATACTGCTTTTTTCTGGTGACTGTAAATAACTTTTGCCGCATTATGCAGTTATAGGCTTATAGCACACATACAATGATACAATGGGCCAGATACAAGTCAATAAAAAATGGAAGTAGAAAGCTAAGCAGTAAACAGTGTGCAATCAGAAATCAATTCCAGAAGGCTCTTTCAAGCAAGGTTAAGATGAGAAAAAACACAATCAACTCACCATCAAAATCATGAAAATAAAAGTAATATCCTTAAATCGATATACTACAGTGACAATGCCATCAATTACTGCATTCTATTTTTCTAAAACGGAAAAAAAAAAAAAAAAAAAAAAAACCTTTTTTTTGGGTATAATTAGTAGGGGGAGCTGCCTTTACAGGTGAGAATTTGAGAAGGAACGAGGGATTGAAGCCCAGACCTCCACCTTTGGTGGGGCTGGGGAACACCACCTGAGCTATATAGCTCGGGCAAAAAAGGAACTAAGACAAAATATTGAATTCTTCATTTCCTTTTCTTGTCAAATGAGATATAATTTCACAATATACTTACAACTAGTTTCCCAAATCCAGGATATGCTGACTCAATTGCTACAATTTCCATTCTTAATGCCCATCCACCGTAACCTTCAACTATTGGAGTTACCTTGGTCTGCAAAAATCAGTTGCTGACAACTCAAACTCATAAAAAGACATCGGCATAGATATTAACAAAAAGTTAACTGCTGACTACCTCACAAAAGCTGAGGACATCAACCATCCCTTTCTTATGAAGGTGACGAATGTAGTCATTAAGCTCTACCAGTCTCGGAGACCCACTTCTTAGCTCTCCAATCTATGAAACATTAAGAACCACTTTCATATGTCGCAATTATCAGAATAGGAAATATATTAATCAACATCTTTTGTTGAACAAGGGAAGTTAACTTTAAATACTAACTGTTGGAGCAGGACGTAGCACAAGGCCCATTCTCCAAGGCATATCTGCAAGTTTGCTACCAAAATGTGGGCAGCTATAAAACACCTACAACCAAAATAAAGCATAAAAAACTTGCAAATTTTTAGGTATGTATTATATTATATTAAGGAGTCGATACTTACAATTCCTATTGTATTTTTTACAAGATTATCAAATCTTTCCTCTTTTGCTTTATGAAGAATCTGCTTCACAACCAGGCCCCCCATACTGCCAATTGCCAAACAATAGAAAACCACATGAGACAAAACCTAAGTGAGGTGCAACTTGATTAAAAAAATAACTAGGTGCCCAAGACATTGGGAAACTGCAACTTTTTAAAAAAAGAAGTTAGAACTACTTTTGTTTCTGTCCATAAGGACTTGTAGGAAATAGTCTATACTTAAAAGGTAAAAAAAGCAGTCGGGGGATGGGACACAGCAGGACCTAAGTTGTTTTAAAACCACAAAAATACTTAAACCCACTTGTTCATCAGTCAGACAACCTGATAGAACCCACGTACATCAAGCACACCTCAGTCTATAGAACTGCAGATTTTGCCACAAGAACTATCAGCTCAGCAACGAAAAGAAAATTCTTTCGCAAAATAGAACAGGGTAGATTAACTGGTCTTTTATATATTCTATTCTACCCATAATGTTTTGTGCATGTTATTTCAAAGACGCTTTTGATAATTAACACCTACTAAAACGGTAGTTTGTTCTGTATTCTTTTTCCATTTACTTCTATGTAGAAGTATGTATACTTTCTTTTCTACAAGTGTGAGTTGTTTAGATTTACCTTATTGGTTACTTTTGTGTGATAAAAAAAAAGGGGGAACTTTTGTTGGAATTAGAACTGTGTACCATTGTGAATCAATCTTGATCTTAAACTCTTAAATAATGAAATTTATCACAAGATTTTGCTATTGGGGCATTGAAAGAAGAGGTAGAAAGAACAGTGGTAAAAACATTAAGAGGTTGCACATGAAGCCAAGCAAGAATATTGAGATCCTCTGCATGCATTCCCTTATGAAATCCTACCCATTCATGATTGTTTAGAAGCATATATATTTAACAATCAATAAAGTATCCTATGAAGCATGAATCACTTGCACTTTCAAAAGGTGCATGCCAATTATAAAAATTGAACAACCAAAACCAATGAGTGCACAGAAGGCCAATCACCAGTGCACTCATGTAATGTGAATACTCAGGCAGCCAGACTAACCTGTGAGAAACAAAAACAACAGGTCGATTCCCAATTCCTACAGCAACAAGCTTCTCCAATAGCATAGAACTAACTTCCTGCGAATTTCAAATAAACAGGTATATGAACTAGAATTTCACTAGAAAGCGAAGCAACTGGCAATAAACAAGTGCGAGGAAAGCTGAGGGAGATACAACAGACCTGCCTACCACAACTAAGTGAAGATGGGTGATAGGAACTAGATTGTGATCACACGAAATAGAACAAAAAACAAAGGATATTTTATTGATTTTCCTGATATCAGTGCGATATCAACTGTGTGTACAGCAGATAAGATGGAAGCAAAAATGTATAGGAAGGGCATTTGAGAAGCCCTATCTCTCCCATGTCTCTATTCCAGAAATGCAAGGACATAGAACGAAAGAAACTTGCTCACAACCCCTCAACTCAAATCACAGTAAAAACAATTTAAATCTTCATCCATCAAAATCAAACTCAGTTCAATAAGAATTTATTTATTTAAGCACAAGTTAGAAGGCGGACCAAAAATATTTTAAAACAACAAAAAGTATGTGTAGATCAAAGCGTTTTAAAATAGTGCTAATATTGACTATACAGTAATGTAACAGTGCTTCAGTCTCAAGAAAATACGAATAGATGCAGAGATTGCAACTTGCAAGTCAGTGCATGATAACGCAAATCCACAATGACCATAGCATTAAAAATGATAATTTTCTTAACAAGGCTCGTAGAGGATGAAAACCACAATTTCATTTTGCACACAGCCAAGTATTGGCAACTTCACAGATGACTAACAAGTCAAAAAATAGGTAGACAAGTAAATTGTGATAATAAATAAAGGGGTGAGGAAAAAGTGTAACCTGAAGAGGAAGGCTAGCTCCAGACCACTGTGTAAGATTAGTCTGCATAAAGCATTTACATTAAGAGTTAGATGCTGGTAAAGCGAATTGCACTAGATTAATAAACTAAACATCTAATCTAATCATCTTACTAGGGCAAAAATGTCATAATTTTACTAAGCAGACCTTGTATTTGAGGGTAAACAAGCGAGCCTCAGGAAAATCACTAGAAAGCCATTCACCAGGCCAAAAGGTTCCAAGCTTTCCTGCCTCCTCGTCAATCTTCTCCACCAAGGTAGACATAGTTGAGGATTTGTCCTCAGCTATACGCCAACTTTTGTAAGGCCCACCACGGAGGCCATGGACAAAAACTACGTCTAGTGAAGGATAATTTGCATCTTGGCTGCTTTTAGTTGAATCATTAGAAATAGAGGAGTTTCCATGATTCAAGGGTTCTGTTCCATTCTCAGTAACAACAGAAGTAGCTACAGATATGTCTTTTGAGAAAGCATCTTGTTGGTCTGTTTCTTTGGGACACTTCCAGTGGGGAAGATGAGGATTTATCAAAAATATCATATCATCATAACGAGGACACAAGTTCTTATTATTTATTACACCACCATCAGGAGGGCTTCCACTTCCAGACCTTCCATTAAACTGGTCATTGCAGAATATATTTAAAAGTGATGCCCTGGCATAACTTTGTATTTTAGGATCATTGCAGCCTGGAATCCTCCCATTAGCACAATCATCAAGCCATTTGCACCAAGTTTCGTCAGCTATGATGACCTTCTTGACTTTGGGAAGCATTGAGAGGATGGTCAACAACCGAGCCGCATGCCTGCGGATATGAGCCGTAGGTGGAACTCGGACACTAGCTGGATCATTTATATCTGACATAGGTGGTTCTCCACCTACATTGGATGTCCGCTCCTGCCCCTCATGTGCTCTAGATGATGCATTATAAGCCTCCATAGCAGCCAGTTTCTCATAATCATCACTCAACAAAAAGCGCCTCAGCAAACATAAAATCCCAAAATCAACAATCTTGTCTTGACACACACAGTCTTCAGCACAAACTTCAGCCAGAGCCTTGATTCCTTTGAGGGTTGCCAAGGCAGAATCTGCAGCATCTAATTTAGGCAGACTATCTTTTTTTAAACTTTTAAATGGTCCTGCTAAAGGTTCTAGAGAGAGAAAATCCGCCAGTGGGGAAGCATCCCCAGAATTAGATGCAATTCTCAATTGTTTAGCTGCCAGATTAACAACAGCACTAGATAGCAGATTTGCAACTTGAGCAGCAGAAGCAATATTTGAATTATTGATTAAAGTCTGCAAAAGTTAACACAGCTAAAATGTACATTAAAAGTTGACCTGGAATTGAAGCAACACAATCAGATAACAATGAAATGTCATTTTTAACACAAAGAAAAAGAAAACTATTTCCAGACCTTCACATTATTACTTTTAGGTTGAATGGCTCCCTTATCATTTGATTTCTTGATGAAACTTTGTACTTCAGTTAGCAGCATGGCCAGCCATCCTTGAGAAAGTGGTACAGATGCTGGTCCATAGTCTTCTAAGATCTGAGAAAGAATCTTTATGGCTGAAGATCTAATATCATCAGAGGAAAATGTTCCAAAAACCCAGGGAAGAAGAATGCCTGACCATTTTTGACTCTCTTCAAAAGACAAATGCAGGTCCCCAGTGCAAAGTAGTTCTAATGCCTTTGCCATTGCTTCTTGCACTTGCTTATGCTTTGTTGTCTGCTTGGCAATGTCTCTCATCGAATTAAGACCCTTCTCCATTACCATCTTCTGCACCCCAGGACTCCTCTCAACAGATAACAGAAAGGCAGAAAAAGCTACCTGAGCCAAAGAAACATCTTCATGCTTACATGCCTGAGCTATAGTAGAAAGAAGAGTGGAACTCCAATCAGAAACAGATTCATTCAAAGGTGTATTGCGATCTTCTAATAGCAACCGCACCACCAAACTTGCATGCCATTTTACAGATCTCTCAGGTGCCATTAAGGCTGACATGACAGCATTTCCATCTTGATCCAGTTCCTGAATACGAGATCTATTCAACGGTGATGCTGTTGCCCAATTTGCCAATGCCCAGGTGGCAAAAGGAACAGCAACATGTTCACAGTGCAAATCATCCCAGAGACCAGGAACAACAGCAGAAGACATATTTTTTTGTGTCAGCGACTTGTCATACTTATTTTGATATACGAGAGTTTTAGGAGTATGATGCTTCAACAGGTCATCATGGCTGGAATTAGGGTTATCCAACTCCATAGCCCATCTGGTCCTTGAAAGCCCTAAAACAGTGGTACCTTCAAGTATCTTGATTCCAATACCTTTGCTTCCTATCCCACCACCATCATCATCTTCACCTTCAGGTGGCTCATCCAAGTGCAAGCCTCCCTCCTCAATAACTTCTAGGGCTGCAGCAATGTCTCTGGTTTCAGCATTTCCAGGCAAAGATGGATTAAAAGATACCTCTTCTGCATTGTCACAGCTGGACGTAACGATATCCATAATGGCAGCCACAAGCATGCTCCTACCTTTCAAAGAATCAGAAATATCAAATGTACCGCGTCTTGAATGCCGCTGCCACAAAAAATTGCATGATGTCACCAATATCAAAATCAGAAAAGACATTATCAACAACATCTCAATAGAAGCTTGCGCTTATGTATAGATCTACAGTGGCCATAGCAAGAAATGAAAAAAAAAAATCAATGATCAGATTTTGTCATGCATTATTTAAAACAACAATAACATCCTTATGCTAAGCAAAAGATGTAACATATACAAAAGAAAAATCATACACATTCATTACGAGCACCATGTCCATGTATATAAAAAATTATGTCAAAAGACAAAACTCTTGGGATTATAATTTATTATCATTGTTAGTAAAACCAAAAAGGGGGAGAACCAGAGCAGTGGTAAAGCTATTTTTTCATGACTGAAAGGTCATGGGTTCGAATTCAGAAAACAGACTTTTCGCAATTATGCAAGGGTACTCTACCCCACACTCGCTAGTCGGGTTTAACGGGGAGTATTTTTTTTTTTGTTAGTAAAACCAAACCGGACCGAAAGGTCAAACTCGTTCAACCGGAATCGGATCACCAACCAGTCTGATCTAGTCAATTCGTGTGAAAACCAATGAACCGGTCTGAACACCAATGAACCGGCTCCAATATTAATTAGTAATTAATTACTAAGCATACATGGAATTCGAACCTGTATCTTGACAAATAATACATGCAATATTAACTACTAAACCATGGTTATATGCTTGTTATAATGCTTTTATTATTATATTATTATTATTATTATTATATCTAGTAACTCACACCGATCAAAAGATAGAACTCTATTGATGAGACAAGAAGCTCAAGAATCAAGTCACACACTCGCCATAGAGTCCAATTGATTGCTCAGTTTGCCAATGCCAATGTCAATGTCAAACCTAAACTAGGTCTCTTTCAAGCTTAGTAAAAACGATTCCTACAATTCACACAGAAAACCTAGATAGAGAATCAATTACCGTCTTTTTCTTAGAACGCCGAGGCTGGCAAGAAAAAATGAACCTAAGAAGATTTGGAATGGCATTAGGTCGCCCAAGCACAGCAGCAGACACGCTAGGGTCCGCAATCAAATACGCCAGCGCTCTGGCCGACTCCGCCTGAGTGCCGCCGCCATCCTTCGCAACCGCCACCGAGTCGAGCAACCAATCCACAACAGCGCCACCACCGGCACCGACGATCGCAGCCCTGCGGCTGGAATTCGCCGCAGCGATATCCGCTAGCAAGGCCGCCACGCGAATCTCGAAGCCAGAGCGGACCTCCTGGTTGGCGGAGGAGAGCACCGACCGGAGCGACTGCAAGAGGACGGCGGCGGCAACACCGGTCCGCTTGGCGTGGTGGAAAATCCGGTTGAAGGAGTCGGCGGACTTGTGCACGGCTTGCTCTGCGCCGGAGTAGAGAGGATTAGTGGCTCCGCCGTGATCGGGATCACGTTGGCGAGCATAATCGGAGGAAAGGAAGGCGACGGAGGCGAGGACGGCGGCGGAAAGAGCGATAACAGAAGTGCGTGAGAAAGCTGGAGGAGGAAGAGGAGAGAGACGGTCCTGGTGTTTAGGGACAGGTGGCGGGACTATTTGGGAATTTTCTACAATGTTATCTTTTGAATTGATAGGTTTTCTGGATGAAGAAGAAACGCTGCGAGGACGAGGGAAGCGAAGAAAGGGTCGGGTTGTAAAACAGATTCGATGCATTATTTGGTTTTTATTGCAATGTGATTGATTACAATAGAATAGAAGAGAAGTGGGTCTTTTTCTTGACTTGAGTCTCTTTATACGTTTTAGTACTTGCAGGCGAGGATGGCGGGAGCATATCTCGGTTTTGTGCATTAAGGTGCATGGACATTAATAAGTGTCTATATAAGGAATTTTTTCACTGGAATATGCCACGGAACAATTTCGATTTTGTTGGTCAAGACAAGACTCAAAGAGAGTATGTACCCCAAAAAATAAAAATAAAAACTCAAAGAGAGTAGTTTACTACCTAAAGGAAGTCTTGGGCTTCGGCCCATCGTGATGATGGATGGGTGTAGGTATTGAATTACTTGTTGAGTCGTTTATCGAAGCTATTCGTACTGTACGTGCCTATACGATGTATGATTTATGTAATTTGGGTGTATGATTGTTACATACTTTACCATCCCAAAAGTTAGTTCAAAGGGTGGGAGTGTTCAAGGCCTTATAAAGGCCACATTAGCTTCTTATACAACCAATGTGGGACTCTTTCCCCCCTTTGGGGCGGCTTCACTCACCTATGAGTATTCAGTGCCCAAAGACACTTTAATCCAGCCTATAGGTAGCCCTTTCTGTGGCCTCAACTCTCAATGAAAGCACCAATTGTTAAAGACCTTAAGTCACCACCCCAAAAGTTAGCTCAAAGGGTGGGAGTGTCCAAGGCCTTATAAACCCCACATTAGCTTCCTATACAACCAATGTGGAACTCTTAACAATGATATTATCTTACATAGGCAAAAATACCGTACTACTAATATTTGGCAAAAGATTTCCCTGTTAAATGCAGAGAAGTCAAACGCACCAAGAAGGTGACATGTTTAGTCTCGTCAAAAAGGTGACGTAATTCCCGTCCATTCGTCCGGTATAATGCCATGGGTGAGTTGCAGGTCGGTCCCATAATATATTTGACGGGACTTGCCTTATTGGCAGTGACTGGACGTGTCAAAACTTTGACGCGATTCGTTGAATCAGATAGCCCACACCCTCTCTTCCTTTGCACTATTTCATTTCACCGTTTTCACTCTTTCTCTAAAATTCTCTCGTTTTCTCTCTTCGTTTTTTCTCTCCCTTCTCTCTAAATATCCCTCTGTCTCTCTCCACCCAAGCTTCCTCCTCAGCCTGTTGAAGTTCCCTTTCCCGTTTCGGTCCACAGCGGCAGCGCACAAGTATGTTGTTTTTTTTTTATTATTTATTTTAGTTTTCTTTTATATTTGTTATTATTTAATTTGTAGGTATAAAACCTAGGATAGAATACTTTATTGCATATTTTAATAAAATCCTAGGATAGATTTAGAAAACTATTTTAATTAAAAACTGTGTAATAAAACCCTAGGATAAAAAACAATTTAATAGAAAACTCTACTGTAGAATTAGTATTTAAATTAACAGAAAAATATTTCTGCAGTTATTGTAGATAAGTTATCTGCATTTATTCTTAAAACGACGTCATTTTGGGATTGAAATATTAAAAAATTATAATTATAAAGACTATAATAATCCTGAAATAAATTAAATTATAAAAATACCATGATTTTCGCCCCAAAATGACGTCGTATTGGACTTATTGCAGATAACTTATCTGCAGTAACTGCAGAAAAAATGAACCCTTTAATTAAATAATAATTATAATATATTAAACCCTAGGATAAAATATCTATTTAGTAAAATAATTTATTAGTCATGAAATTATGAAAGTAATTATAACTAGTAGATAATTAATGTTTGAATTAAATATTAAATATTTAGGATATCTTAGGATAGAAACCTATTTAGTAAAGTAATTAATTAGTAATGAAATTATTAAATAATAAATCTATTTAGTGTTTTAAGTAAATAATAATTATAATTAAAGAAAACCTAGGGTACACTTGGATAGAAATCTATTTAGTAAAATAATTAATCAGTAATACAATAAGGAATAAGTTATTCTGCCTACTCTTATTTTGCCTACCTTTGCCTACCCCTCTCAACACTGTTAGATTATAATCTCATCCAACGATGGAGATTTATGATATAAAATAAACTCTTTTATCCTTTTCTCTTTCCCAGTGCATCTCACTCTTTCTCTCTCCCCCTTTCTCTTTCTTCAATGGCGCTTCAACATCAAAAAAAGGTGCAAGCTTTTTTCTTATTTCATTCAACCCAGCCATTTTTATGAGCATTTACATAAAAAAAATTGAAATGGGGTGTCAAGAAGAAACAAACTCAGATGTCATATTAGGTGTAACATAGAGAGAACATATATCATTTCCCCACTTCAAGGTGAAAAACAAGATAACAAGAAGGAGATAAGTTGATTTGATTTTAAATTTCAATAGCAAAGTAGAAACATTACGTTAATCATTGATTAATTCAAAGGAAGGGATTATTCATGGTTTTAGTTTTTTTGTATTTTGTGATTTCATCCATGTTCAATTATATCAGATTCAAGGAATTTTAAAAATTATACTCATCCAGCAGAACTATCATGCCATTAATAATTGCATAGATTTAGATTCAAATATAAATTCAGGTTGTAAATTACGCAAATCGATATAGAAAAAGGGGAGGAGGGAGAAAGAGTGTGGGGGGCAGTGAGGAGAAAGAAATGGGAAAATGGTTTATTTTATTCCGCAACTATCCACCATTGGATGAGATTGTAATCTAATGGTGTTGAGAGAGGTAGGCAAAGGTAGGTAAAATAAGAGTAGGCAGAATAACATATCCCATACAATAATTAAATAGTAATTATAATTAGTTTTTTAACTAAATAAATTATTATTTATGAAAGCCTAGGATAGAAAACACATTAAAAAAATTACATAGTAATGAAATAAGTAAATAATATTTATAATTAGTGAACAATTAGTGTTTTAATTAAATAATAATTATAATTTATAACCTAAGATGGAAACCTATTTATTAAAATAATTAATTACTAATGCAATACTTAAATAGTTATTATATTTAGTGTTTAGGTAAATAATAATTATAATTTATGAAAGTCTAGGATTGAAAACAAATTTTGAAAAAATAATTAGTGTTTTCATTACTGTTTTAATTAGTGTTTTAATATTGATTATAATTATGAATTTGTTTGTAAATTTGTATTAGTTAAATGACTGGTAACCACCCACGCATTGACCCTGGTCCCAAAGAGTGGGGCATACTCGATCAGGTTGTACAACAACCACACAGATCGTGTAGGAAATGGTGCAACGTACAAGTTGACTTCCCTATCCCGAGTGTTGTGCTGGACAGCCAAATTGGGACCTATATATTTCGGGCTATGGGTGTCCAAACCACTTGTTTCTTTTTGCCTCAATACAGGGTTTAAATATTATATTTATTGAAATTTTATAACAAGTATATATGCTTCATAGCTAACCTTGAATTATTTAACGAACTATGGTTTTGGTACGATTAATGGTGCAAGTTCCGGATGCATATGGGGGGTTGCCACCCCTATGGTTGAAAATTTGTGACTATATGTTTACATTGTGCTTATTTTCTTTATGGAATCAATGCAGACTGGAGCTTTGCTTCTTGATGGGGGTACATTGAACTACTTGGGGAAACCAATCGCCATCAATCTTATTGTTGCTGTCATTGCTGAGATAGTGCTAAAAAGCATGATACTGAAAATTTGCCTTGCAATTTTGTCTATCTTTATTAGAATATAAGCTTTATTGCTTTTCCTTACTTTGCTGTCAAGTTTGTTATGCTGTTATTTCTCTATTGTATTTTCCTTTTTGTTAGGCCTTAGCACATTCTGTTAGAGCATGTGCAGGCTCCTCTCTTTGCGTTAGTTATTTTTCTTTTCAGGATGATATATATATATATATATATATATATATATATATATATCTAGCCTTAGTTGTACTTTTCAATTAATCAAAGATGAATATTCAGTTTCCATTCTGTTTCTTTCACACTTAACATGGTATCAGATGATTCTTTGTAGCCCTTGCCAATCTCCATGGCTCGCGGCACCAATAATCGTCCACCCGCATCTGACCTTTCTGGCACCTCTGCTTCTGGTCACTCCACCTCCATGGATGATTCCAGTAGCCCATATTTTTTACACAACAGTGATCATCCCAGCTTGATTTTGGTTCCTCATCTTCTTTCGGGTTCCAACTTCAACTCTGTCACCACCGTCACAACCCCTCCGTCTGTGGCAGCCACCACCCAACGCCGTTCACATCCCCTTTGCACTTATTGTAACCTATCTGGCCATACCCGTGAAAAATGCTTTAAGCTTCACGGGTATCCCCCTGGCTATAAGCCTAAATTGCCAAAGCCCAATATTATACCTACCCAAGCCCAGGCCCAGGCCCATTCCATCCTTGGGGTCCCTCCTGACTCGATACTTTCCCCCAATTCCCACAATCGGTTTTCCCCCAACCCTAATCCTTCCTCTACTGATGCTCCGCTAGCTTTCACACTGTCTCAGTACAACCAGTTGCTCTCGCTCATTCAACAGGGTTCTGCATCTTCACACTCCGCTGCTCTTTCCTTCGTTGAGTCATCTCCCTCGGTTGCCAGCTTTAGTGGTAAACCCCCTTTTTCTTTTCCTTCCTCTTTCTGGGTCTTGGATACTGGTGCTACACACCACGTATGCATCAATCTTGCTCTTTTTAAGTCTTCTTCTCCTATTCTCCTTCTACTTCTCGAGTTTCTTTTCCTAATGGTGTATCTGAAGTTGTCTCATCTGTTGGTTCGGTTTCTCTTTCTGATTCTCTTTCCCTAGTTGAAGTTCTTTACGTGCCTTCTTTTTTTTTCAATCTACTTTCTATCAGTGCTTTGACTTGTGACTCTCCTGTCATCGCTAATTTTTCTTCGTCTTTTTGCTTCCTTCAGGACCGATCTTCGGCAAGGATGGTTAGGATTGCTAGACGTCATGTGACCTTTACATTCTAGATAGTTCGAATCTTTTTCCCACAGACATTGTTCCCCATCCCCTTTGCTTTTCTTTATCAATTAAAGACCCAATTCTCTGGCATTCTAGACTAGGTCACCTTTTCATTCCTATTTTGAATTCAATGAAATGTGTTTTGGGATTTTCTGA